ATAACATCATCACTGGGATAAATTAAGCCACCGTTAATACCTCCTTTATTTTTAAAAAATATAAGAGAATTTAAAAAACAATCTCTATCAGTTGCACACAATGCTTCTTTGCAAATATCACATTTAAGGATATTGGTTAGTTTGTAAACTACAAAACCAGATATATAAATAATTATTTYCTTTGAAAAGTTGCTAAAAGAATAATTACTATAACTCCAATGTAGTCGTGGTCCATGATAAAAACTGTACTAAACTTACAAATTGCAAACATAAAACAACGTTAAATTTGTAGGCAGTATTCAATACTTCAAATAAAAATTCAAATCAAAAAAAAATATAATGAATTCATAATTTTATCATTGAGAACATTTAATATTTATTATCTCAGTATATGTTACTATGATAATCGTACCAAATATATTACAATAATTTTTTTTTGTGAAGTATTTAACCTGTAAAATAGAATCCACTTTTGCTTCAATATGCAGATGGAACGGTCTCTCTATATTACTCTATGGTTTAAACACAGAACGGTACAACTGGCCCTTATAGTAGGTCAAATGCATACCGAAATCCCACCAAAATTTGAATTCTTGTTTAAAATATTTTAAATGAATTTTTATTTTTTGTCATTGATATTGATTTTTGTAATTTTGTCCCAATAAATTATGAAACTATTTTATTTTACAACATGTAAATGTATTTATGTTTTTATATTAGATATGTAATATTGTTTTATTTATCAAAATACCTATAATACACCTACATAGGTGGTCCCAGGAATTTACATAAGGTGCAGCACATTAAATTATAGTATATAGTATATAGTACTAACAAATGTCAAATAATAAAATAAATTTGTTACCTTCAATAATAAAACACATTTTAAAACTTTAAATTTTAAAACATTTATTGACTATTGTTTAAAAGAAATCAGTCAAATCAGTGATAGATTGTGTTTTCAAAATTATAACACGATAAGATACAAATGATTTACTAGCATGATTTAAGATAGACAGGTTGCGAAACGCTCTATACAAAACCTCATCTTTGTTGAAGCCTAATGTTTCCAATACAGAAACAGCAGTTCCATACTGTGAGAATTACAGCTAACGCTCCAGCGGTTGAACAGCAAACTATTCTATTTTATATCATTTTCACTTATCAATATTCATTACATTATTTACTAACCCGCCAATTTTTGATTTAGAATCATACTAATTTGCCTTGCGTAGAAAACACGATTTAAGATAGAGTATATTATCTTAAATCGTGGTAGAAAACAGCATAGAGATAAAGTATTACTCTATAGAAATAAAATATTGCCTTGTCTAGTTGTCTCTGCATTATTTATTTAACTTATTAAACAATCATGGTGTCGAATAAATGTTGTGTTCCTGGTTGCTGCGACAGTGCTAAAACTAAATACGGAATTCCTAAAAATTGCCACGATATTTGGGAAAAAGCCATAGGTATTTCATYAAACAGGCATTCCAGGGTATGTGAGAAACACTTTAGACCGTCTGATATTGTTTCCATATGGGTGTCTGGTGAAGGTAGCAACCAAATTTCGGTATGTTCCTTTAGAATAGAAAAAGTTTGAAGTTARTTTATCCATTTTTAAAATTTATCAAAACATTCAAAGCAATAACTTGCTATTCCTTTTAGTACTTTGTACCTATTMTTTTTTACTTAACTTTAAACAAGTTAATTTGAATTAATAAAAACATCAAACAGACCAAACAGTACTAACACAGTAACACTAATAACTAATATTATTATTTYAAAATTTGAAATCTTCAATCCTTATCTCAAAAAATTACTGTCAAATTATTTATAAAAAAATAAAATATTTTAATTAAAAAACGACCACTTGGCCGGTTGAGCGCTAGTTGTAATTCTTACTGGCAATTCTCCTATGGAAACGTTGCCCCTCAGAATCTATAGGTTCATTGCGCAACCTGTCTATCTTAAATCATGCCTACTATAGTAATTGCGGATGTGTGGCTTCAAACATTTATATGGTTAGTATAGGGAACCTATCAATCTAGTTTATTATCTATATCGGTGTATGTTCCCCACGGCTATAGATACTATGGTTGCGGGACGGCCCATCAAAGCTGTATTTCGAAAGCGGCGAGTATAGTTCTACCGGATTTCTAATAACACCTAGTGCTTCCAGTGAATAATAGTAGTAACTACATAAGAAACAATGGTTTTGAAATTGCACGGGATGTAAAAATATATATTTTTTAAAATAATTCAACAATTATTTATTGWTTTCCCTATATAGTATATAGTGTGATGTGTGAATTTATTATCATAAATCGTATTATCAGTGTCTATGACTATTGTTTATTTAATTACATTTCCCTCTAAATTGATGTACATTGTTCATTATAACTCATATATTCAGTATTGARTAAATAGTTAAAATTAAAATTAAAATTAAAAATGTCTCCTTGTTGCGTACGACGTGTTGACGATGTTTTTCAAGACCATAATTATTTTGATAATTCCTCAACAGTTTTTGAATGTGTTGTGTATTTCTTAGCWGGGTAAATAGTATTAATTTACATGTCTTTTATTTTACTTTTTAATTATTGTGTTATAATCTTATGTCATTAGGTATATAAATAAAAATATAATTAAACACATTAAATGTGAAATGTGCTTAAATAGCTTAAAACCTGAGTATGGTCAAGTTGTTGTCCCAGAAGCAGATCTTATAAATTTGAAGACAAGAGGATTTTTGACACATCCAAATAAAAACCTGTATACGATAGCAAAACTAATTGAAATGTGCTTTGAAAAACATGCAGAGTCACCAAATGTATTTGAAGATACATGTGAAGAATTCTTTAGTAAAAACATAAAGCTCACGTCTCCATGTAGTGAACACAGGACTGATGTGCTTACTAATATCTTTAATATGTATAGTCATGAGAATGAGACAGTTCACATATACAACAAACCAGCAAAATAAAAAACAAAAAAAATGTAAAAAAAAAATCTCTAATTAATGACTACATAAATTTTCATAATATATGATTTAATTTTATTGTTTAAATACTAYTGCATTTTAAAATCAAAACCTGTCAGTTAATTTCAAAACTTTTATAATTATTAATTAATACAATAATTATAGGTCATATTTTATATTTATTTTTTTACAATTTTTTACAATTAAATTTTCAACTGTTCAAGGTAGGTACCTTGTATATAATAATATTTTTGAACTACAAAACTAGATAGCGCTAGATGGTATTAGAAAGGCAGAAGAACTTTTCTTGGACGTCTTATCACGAGTCTTCCCACAACCATAGTATCTATAGCCGTGACGTTTCCGTATCAACCATTCACTTATCAGTGGTAAAGGAGCTAAGGAGGACCCATTGAACTCTATATGATATATGAAAAATGCAGAAGTCCACAAGAAAAGTATGTTTGTATTAATAATTGTTATATTCTGTGGTTTTATTACTTGTTATATTATAAATTATTTATATTCTATTAAAATAATCAAAAAGATTATAAAAAATAAATAAGGAGGTACAAATATAAAGAATTAAACTAAAATAATATTGAGGGAAATAAATCGTAAATGAATATTGGATGCATCATAGCGCGAATGCGCGATGTGCAAGACAAAGATAGTAACACCATTAGTATGCCCCATCTCTTTCTAACATTCCCGCTCGGTTAACACTGCTTGGTGAGCATTCCAGTTATATAGAATTCAATGGGAGGACCATAGAACATAATAGAAGCGACAGTCAAACAGCTGATCGATTTGTTTTCATTTTGCCGGAGGTTCAACATGAAGTTGGCAGCGGAGGCTCGGCATGATGTTGTAACCGTATTATAATTTAAAATCTGTAGTATGTTTCGACTGTTATCACTTTTTCTGTGATATTGATAATTTAAATTTTTAAAAATTAGGAAATACATTAAGCATTGCAATACGGTTACAACGTCATGCCGAGCCTCCAGCTCAAGGTCAACAGAAATATTTTTCGGTGATCAATGGGATTTTGATAGCTGTCGCTTCAATTATGTTCTATGGTAGGACGGAGCCTAGACTATATAACTGTTGATTGGAGAGGGGGGAAGGTAAACCGTTTTTTATTTTGTCTTTGTTCCTGCGCTACGATCGAGAGAACACGGTCGCAGGTTTAGGACGCTGACACTGCAAGCGCTTATATCGATGATGCTGTCCTGAACCAGCAAACCGACGYCGTGACACCGATCGATTGTCTCAAGTGCTTTTTCTTCGTACACCGTTTTCCTACGTCTGGRAACTGGAACAAACTCATTACGCCGCCCATTGCTATTAATTATTTTTGGCCCACTTTTCCACCTAGTCCTAGGATTCAGCTCTATAGTTGGACACCTCGTCCTTGCGGTTCAGTCGCTTTCCCAGTTAGTTTGGTCTGTCCATTTYACAGACCGATGTAATCAACAACGCAAATCGTATACTACCACACATCACATGGTCGCTCTTGCACTATTTGTTTTGAAGGTATGTAATGTATGTGTACGCGATTTTCGTTAGTGTTGTTATTATTTCTAATTATTTTACGTGTATAGAATAATAAAAATAAAATATTTCGATTACTATTTCATACCTTTTTGTTATSATTTTTAGAATTATCTGATCTTCAATTTGTGAGAACATTTACTCAATAAACCGATGGTTATAGAAATATTAATGCCATACAGGGTTGAACCTAATAGAAATTCTYCAATCGAGGTAAATATTAAAGTTATKTCATAAGTTCTAGATGACATTTAATTAATTTTTTTCAAACTGTAGGTGTCGAGGTAGGTATGTATTCTTGTTAGGTTTTGACAACATAACAATTTTAGACTGTGGGTTATATCAACATTGACGACAATAGATTTTCATACGATAGTACATAGCACTGAAGAAATTTTTTAATGCATTTAATAATCTCAATATTGTGAAATAATTCATAATCTTCCCTAATAACTCTAAAAAGCACATAGAGTTTCACTTAGTTATTTACATACTATTATTATTATAAACTTCTCATAACTTCATTTATTTAAATTTATAAATTGGTTACCTATTTTATGCTTTATAATGTTTTTTGAAAATAAGGTATCGTAAGTGTAATACCTAGCTTGTACTTAAATGGCAATCGTTCCTTCTCGCTCGGAAAGTATATTACCTAAACATATTACGAATGTTAACCATAAGGGCTATTATAGTATTATCATAAAATTTACTACTAATTAGTGAATGATCAAATAATAAAAGTAATACATATTGTGTGGCATTAAGTGTTATCTTAATTTAATTTGTAAATGTTGAAACTGGGTTTGTGATTTGAATGTCAAAATTAAATATCCCGATAGCACTAACAATACCTYTACTAAGTATTGTTTCAACATTTACACAATATTCACATAACAATTTTCATAATTTATCAATATACAAAAAATGTGTTGAGTCACACTACAAAAGTTTTTGGAACAACATAGAGTCTGGCGAGTTAAAGATTCCACAATTTTAATTCTGTTATTGAAAAATTGAAATCTAGGTTCTAAAGGTGTGTAAGACTAATAAATTATTAAATAATTCTACATATTTGGAATCCAAATGAAAATAATTCATATAAAAAAAAAAAATTCAAAAAGTGTTATTTTAAAAAAGTATAAAAAAAAAAAATTATTATTTATTAAATTAAATTAAACTAAATTTATTTATTTTTAAAATGTCATTGTATTAACAATATATACACCAAGTAGTGCTGTCTTCAGTTATTTTTATTTTTAAATATTGTCAATAACATGAAACATGATTGTACTTCATTTAGGCGTGTTCAGAAATGTACACACTTTTTCAATTTTTCCCAAACATCCTTATCGGCTTTAAATCAATTACTATCGAGACTGTAAGATTTAGGAAATGTGCAGCACAGTAGGTATACATAAATAGCTTTTTAATGTTTAGTTCAAATATAAGACATTACTCCATGAAACTCTCCTCTCATGCTATTGGCCACCATCATAACCATGCCCAGCTATGAACTTTCAGTYTAAGCCGCTATTCAACTTAACCTGATCAAAAATAATTTACACTTAATGTTTTTAGTGTTTTCACCATTCAATATTYCTGTGGACAGATGACTACTAGTTTAACTTTATACAATAATAAATTAAAAATAATATCATTTAAATTTCCATTAGAGTCAATGTATTTATTTAAATTTATTCATTATTGCTTAATATCAACCATTTTCATCAACTAATAAATTCCCTATCTCTCATATTAGTGACCTCTCAACGCTAACTCTTGTCTATCGCATAGAAGGATAAAAGGTACTAAATGTTTTTTATGAATTATATTAAAGTTGAAGCTTTATAAGTTTCAAGTACTGTCTGTATAATAAAAACTTGTAAGAATCTAGCTGCTCATTAGAGCAATAATGTAATTCTCTTTTTTTTTTTTTCTAATACATTTATAAAATTCCAAGCATCTAATGTAGCATTTATATAGTATTCCAACGTATAATGATTTTGAAACACCTGAAAAACATTAAATTAAAACGGTATTTCATCCTTTTTTTTACCTACTATTGGTAATGCCGCAGATTAAATCTGTTTTAATCTGTAGTATTACTTTTTTTTTTTATTATTATAATACAATAAAGTAATAGTATTACTATAATATAATAACCACCTTTTTAACTTTCAATTGGTATTTTCTACTTATACAAGCTGTCCAAGTGGCTAATTTAGAGATCCACCATATTTTGAAAAAATAGCACAGAATTAAYAAAAATTTCATTTTTTATTTCAGAATATACAAGCCAAGAAAATTCATTGAACCAGTTAGACTGAAGTCAAAGCATTTATTAAATTTTTTCCAATAAAGGATATTTATACATTTTTTGCATTGACCAAACATTCTTAAGCACCTGTAAATAAATGTAAGTGAGAAATATCACAGTTCAATATTTCATAATTTTAATTAACATGTATTTACTAATTATTTTAAATAACTGCCTACAAGTAAGTGTGGRTGTTACTTAATGATACATTTTAAACTAGTTGTTATTATTAATAAAATATATCTGATGGCTAGTAACTAACTTAAAGCTTTTCCTCGTAATTTAAGCTACGATTAATAAATTAWGTAATATYATTAATTTGAGGAATTAGAATATTAGAATTATGCATGCACTTAGTTTAAATCTTAAAAATAAAAAAATTTAACATATTTTAATACATGACAGTATTATGAATGTAGGTACAGCTGTGAAAGTCTGACAACTATTATAATTGTATCACTTTTAAATAATAATATTTTAATGATTATTATAATTAAAAACATAATTTTTTTGTTATATCAATAAATTCATGTTTAACAAACCGATATATTTTAATAACAGCATCTGTGCATTTAATAACCTTCCTTTATTGTTTACATAAAATTATATATATATATTATATCAAGATTCCGGATTTTTATGCATTTGCATGTTTGTAATAAGTGTACGAGTTCAGCTACTTTATTATAAATTTGAATGAATACTGAAATAGCAGCAGGCTGTTGATCGGCCTTTTTAGAGTTACTTGGCGGAAGGCTCGCTTAGTGCTTAGGACTTTTAAACTTTTAAACTCGAGTGACCACCGCTTTATCTACATCATGCCCATTGATAATAAATCAGACCTACCATAAAGTCACCGACAATATTATATTATAAAATACTAATTTTTTTCATGAGCTTAATTATCAATATGTATTTTAAAATTCATAATGCAAGTTTCATGCTGTACTTTTGGCTGTTACAGTTCGCGACRAAAAGATAAAGGCACCCGAATATATTTATTAGTCCTGTAAAGTATTTGAGTAAAAGTATTCAAATACTTTTATAAGTATTGAATAACTTTTCAAATACTTTCAGCATGAAGTATTTTGAATGGTATTTTAAATACTTTTTTAAGTWTTTTTGTATTAAGTACTTGTTTGTATTGAATAATTTGGTTTTTTATTTCGAACATTTTAGTTTTTATTTTTTTCATTTAATTAAATACTCCGCTGCCAAGCAGTGCTTCAGTAGAGCGGGTATTTAGTGTGGGTGGAGCAGCCATGACTAAAAAGAGAAGCAGTATGACCGATGAACATTTTGAAAACATTATGTTCTTAAAATGTAAAAAACATTTATTCAATAAATAATAAATAAAATAAAAATTATTATAAACTTACTAGGTATGTGTCAATATTACGATAAATCATTAGAAACCTACTTTAAAAACCAAAAGTATTTGAGTAATATTTGAAATACTTTACAATTAAAGTATTCGATTAGGATCTTAAATTTAGTTATAATAAACCTTATACCAAAGTGTGTACAAATTATGTTATCATTATGGAAATTATAATTAAGTGGTTTAATTAATACTTTCTCATATGTTATTTAAATTTTTATTATACATTTTAAAATTCTGTGTAACTACAATAATATTAATAAAAAAAATTTAATGGGAAATTTTTGCAACAAAATTATAAAGGCAAATATATATATTAACAAACTAATCGATATTACAACATTTTTTATATTTCTCAATATTTATATATTTCATTTTAATATATTAATATTTTGTGCAACCTCCATTAGCACAAATAGTGACAAAAATTCTATTTTGAATTGTGTCATAAAGCTTTTTTATAATATCATGGGAAATTAGTGCCCAAGCTTTTAAAATTGATATTTTCAACTCACAGAATGAAGAATATTGTTTGGCATCTTTATAAACTTCTTTGGCAAGTAATCCCCAAACATTTTCAATAATATTTAGATTTGGAGATCGTGCAGGCCAATCTAATATTGGTATAGAATTTGTTTCAAACCATAATTTTATGATTCGAGCAGTATGGATTGGCGCATTATCCTGTTGAAATATAAAATTTATTCCTGCTATTTTCTGAAAATATGACTTTTGGGTCTTAAGGAGATCTTTATACTTCAAAGCATTTATTCTACCATCTAAAAAAACAACTTCACTTCGTCCTTTATAACCAATTGCACACCAAATCATTACAGATCCTCCTCCCATTTGACGTTTTGACATTATACGTTCATCTTTTCTTAAATCGTGATAGTAATACGAAAATCCATCAGGTCCATCCAAATWAAATTTTTTTTCATCTGAAAAAATTACTTTTCTCCATTGTTTTGACCAATTCATTTTGTTTCTTGAAAAGTTCAATCTTGCATTTTTATTAAGTTTGTTTAATGGTGGTTTTCGTAAAAGTGAGTGTTGACGTGCGTTTTATTAGTCTTTGTACATTACGAATACCAGTTTTCACACCACATTGATCGAGAATACCACGTKCAGATAAAGCAGAATTTGATGCAACTCTTAAAATTGCTCTTTTTTCACGATCAGTTAATGCTTGCGGTTGACCTGTAGACTTCTTGGAATTGTAATTTTGACCAAGTCTTACAAAATTATCTATTACCGTGGAATTCCTATTTAGTCTATGCGATATTTCACAATTAGAAAGACTGCATTCCTTAAATGCTGTAATTTTTCCTCGTTCTTCATTTGATAATGGTTTTGCTTTTCCCATTGTAAGTTATTTAATAATTAATTACAATACTATAGGCACCATGCATGTGGTGGATAACAGC